AAGAGAGAATTTAACGTGTCTGTGATTTCCTTACCTTGATTTTGGTCACAACGGCACTTGAGGAATCGGTGAATAGAGAGAGAGAGAGAGATAAGAAACTGCACTTTTCCAGTACAACTGCAGTTTTCTCGAGCACTTTCGGTTCTTTCTCCGGAATCGAACCTTTTTTCTGTATGTTCTTCCTCTCGCGGCAGACAGAAACCCACAGTCTTCTCGCGATAAGAATATAAACAAAAAAATGAAAACAAAAACTCTACTTAATCAGACAAACACACTATACAGGGAGGTGGTGACGATACACCCATGTACAGAAACAAATTTGAATAGCCCTGTATATATTGCAGCAAATGATTTCGAACACTATATTTATAGATTCAAAAAGTTCAAGGTAAAAATAATTCGATGTTTCCAAACCATTCCTTGATATGCAACCACAAGTTCCCGAATCTAAACGATACGGAAATTTTGGACTATGCAAGGAAGGGTTGTAAACTCAATTGTTTGGAATTCTTGGAAATTCACAAGCATAAACATTGCGGGTGCAACCTTACATGATCAAATCGATTTAGTTTACTCACAGGTTTTCAAATTAACATATCCACATTGTCACTAGTAAACAAAATGCAGGTACTCAATCAAGCTAAGTACCTTTATCATCACCTACAGTGGTGTTTCACTTTAATTTATGAGTTTAAAAATGTCCTTATAGAACGAAACTGCAGTAACTTCAGTTACAAATAAAAGTGGTAAAAACATAGAGAGTTTCAATTCTCTTTTCTTCAAAAAGTATTTCCGTATGCCGAGATAGTCAATTTCACTCAATGAAAAAACCGTCTCGATATTTCCAGGGGAATTTATTAGCTTCCATTCCACGACCTTAAGGTCATTAAAATAGCTGTGGCTCGTATTTTGCACTGGGTATGCAAGTTTCTATCTGCAATTTTTCATAATGTTAATTACATTTGAGATACCTTCGGAGGCAGACCAGGAGAGCGGCAGAATTAATTAATGACTAAGTGTTGCAAATTCAGGACTATAATTATTAGGAAGACTCCGATACCGCGGGAATGTATTCGCAGTGATAGATTAGGTAAACAGACAAGACTTCGGATCTCCCTAGCTAGAAATAATTATTATAATAACCATACATTCATTTTCAAACAGACATCTATAGTAAAACATTTTTTTGAATGTCCCGAGCTATGTAGGTAAATTTCTTGAGAATATACACTGTCTCCGCAAAGTATGGAATAAATTCGATATTTCCAAAACCAAAGGTCGTTTCACAAAAACCTGAAACACATCGATTTTCAATTTTAATATTCTACATTTCACAACAACATTTCATTATACAGGGTGATCCATATTAATGTGATGACGTCATCGGTATTATTTTTAAATGAAATACCCTATATTTGGTATCAGTGTTAGATAATCCGTAACGAGCTGATTCCGAAAAGCTATGATACTTGGGGTCTAACGGACAGAATTTGGAAGATGTGCGCTTAGAAAATAAATTTTATTGATATCAACATTTAAAATGAAGTCATGTATTTATTACTGGATTACTTTCCCATTATTAAATTGATCATTAGAAAAAAATATAAAATAATTCATCAATTTACACTTTTATTAGATATAATTAAATTTATTTTCTAAGTGCACATCCTTCTAATTCTGTCCGTTAGACCCCAAGTATTATAATTTTTCGGAATCAGCTCGTTACGGATTATCTAAAACTGACACCAGATACAGGATGTTGCATTAAAAAAAAACTACTGATGACGTCATCACATCAATATGGAAGACCCTGTATGATAAAATTTTATTGTGAAATGAAGAATATTGAAATTAAAAATCGACGTGTTTCAGGTTTTTGTAAAGCGACCTTTGGTTTTGGAAATATCGAATTTATTCCATACTTTGTGGACATACTGCAGAATGAAAAAGTAAAAAAATAAAAATAAAAATTATTAATTCATTTGATCAATTGATCCTCTGTTCTAATGAATCAAACTATATCATTCATGGACATGTGGATTATCTAGGAAAGCCTCACTGAATGTGAGACACCAGAAAGAATGAATGAATTGGAGCAACATCAGGGTTTCTTGACCAGAGATATCTATTTGGACTTTTTACAGACAGAGTTTATCGGTATACTATGAAGTTAATTTTCTAATCCAGGAGTTGCACGTTGAAAGGTAATACCTCGTTAATCCTTAACTCGTACAACTTTTAGTTTCTGAAAACGGCGGGATCACTTGACCTTGTGGAGTTATCTACAAAACAAGATCTATCAAACAAAACCCTCAAAATACAAGACCTGAAGATGTAATGCGATAACACAAACATATTGTGTTTTGGTTCAGATATGTTGATGACGTACTGGTTGGTTTTGATGGTTCAAACAGACAAATTAATCGATTTTTAAACTTTCTCAATAGTCTGCATAACAAAATTAAATTCACAGTAGAAATCGAACAAAACAAGAAGCTTCTTAGATTTAAATATTTCAAGAGTCAATGGTGGTTTTCAATTCAATATCTACCGGAAAAACACATTCACAGATGTTTAATGCAAAACCAAAACGAGCAACTCGATTTATGTAAGTCTCCACTCTTGAATTTATAAGTTTAACAACCCCCTATATTTTTCAGTGTTGAATTTTAAAGTTGGCACCCTGGTTCAGTAAACCACCTGTCCTTCTATCTTATCTAAAAACTCCCAATATAACCGAGTTTTCAAATTTCAAATTTTAGTTTTATACTTGATAATGGAGTTAAACCCGAAACCAGTCGTTTAAATAAAATTAACTAGTGGTAATTAGACAAAAGTGTTTTATTCATTTAATTAGAGTAATTAAAATATCACCTGCAGCCAATTTGGAGACGTTAGTACTAAGATATTTTTTTGAAAACAAAAATGGAAAATAAATTGTGTGTAACTGTATTACCAGCCAATTTTTGGGGATCAATAGTTGGTAATCTTGATATATCATAGAAGATAAAAAGTTATTGTTTCAGTATTGGTATTGATAATACAGGTAACATTTGTTATTTCAGGTTCCTATTGCGGGTACAGGACTGTATGACTACATTTAAGGACTTGTTTTCGAGAGTGGTTCAACAAACTGAACCGGACATAACAAATCAAAAACTTAGTAGAAATCAGACAAAAAATATTTTCCTCATTTTATATTTAATATGAATTTTAACAAAATGAATTGGTCATTATTCGAACAAGTTATAACCAATCTCCTTTTTCGATATAAAATTTTGAAGTGGTTGGTGTGTAGGGTGGAAAATTGAAACGAGTTAGAAAAATGTTATATCAAAAATTAATTTTCGAAACTAAAAATCGGCCTCCTCGAGGATTTCTACGAATATTTTTCTGTTATGAAGATACGAATTCCATTCTATCATAGATTTCCACACTGTATATACGAGTATTTCTGAGCACCCTAAATAATGACAAAATGAAATTATTACTATTACTGTTATCCCAACACCAAATCGTTATTTTAACACCTCAACACGTGTTTCAATCATATTCAAGAGGAAGATAAAATACCAAAGGTTCCAAACAGTGCAACACACTTAGTATTACTATTAATAACTTTTTTTATTTCTTGTAAGCCGGCAGCAAACTCAAATTCAACAAGATTTTTGAAGGTTATTCACATGTATTTGAATAACAATAGTGATATGCAGAGATAAATTATTATCATCTTTTATGATAACTAAAATTTCCAGATAATATTTGCATAGTCGATAATGTCTATTTTTATCAACAAACATTTGCGATAGTTTCTGCATGAAGAATGCATTAAACTTGTAGATATTAAAATATAATAGGCAAATGACGATTTCGAGAATCGCAAGTTTACTTATTCATTTGCAATATGAAGAGAAACCCATCAATATTTGATTATATTCACAGTCGGTGGCTGATCAAAGTTGATGAAAATTATTGAAAAAACTGTTATAATATACGAATTTGAATAGAGGAGTGGTTCCACGAAAAGACAATTTCGCAAATTGAATTATATGGTTGTTAATATAACAAAACAGTTGAGTAGATACTAAATAAAGTCTTCGAACAGCTGAGTAAACTTTGTCTATTCGACAAATTATTTCGCTTCCTTGTTGTACCGTATGGTTTGCAAACCATTTCAATTTTAGTTTTTTGATTGCTGATATTACTATTTTTCATCACTTCCGAAGAATAGTATTTGCCTCAAAAAAAAAACCCTAGATGGATGGTCATTGGTGACAATCATTAATATTCATTTGTTAGAGTGAGGGTACATTATATTGCACCCCAAAAGACGATTTCAATTATTATTGGTTAATATGATACACTCGTAGATTGTAGTACTCGGTACACTGCTTTTGCCGTGAAATATATAAGAGTTGAAGAACCAATGAAGATCCTAATTACTATTTGAAGACCTTCGAAGGTGAGTAAATACTTTTTTTCTGAACTGAATTTCAAGTAAATAAAACTACATGGGTCCAGAAATGTGTTACTTCATTCACAATGTCCAGAAAATTTTGGCTTTTTCATGAAGTAATGAATAGGTGCAAAACCTACACTGAGCAAAATTAATTACGTACATTTTCACTATAATTTAACAGAATACATACTCAAGAGTTCCGAGGCAATTTTTTATAATTCATAATTGGGATATTATGATAATGTTCAATTGGTTTTGGAATTCACGTATATGGGCAGTACGGATTTTTTTAAAGGACAAAACACAAGCACTATAGGAAAATCTTAACATTGTTTTTACTTTTACATCGTAGTATAATTTATTGGAAAATCAAACAATACATTTCAATTTCTTCTCGGAATTCTCCATATTGGTATCTTCGTAGAGCATTAAAATCCAAGGTCAAGCATGCCCCATAAGGAGGAAAGGAGCAGGGGTGGGAGGACGGTCTGGGACAGGTTCTTCGATTGGAGACGGCACGGCATGTGCCTGGCCCGTCTTGTTCACATCCTGGCATGTGCCTGTCCGTTGCTTGCCTTAGTACGCGCCTCCCCATAAGAAATTACAGAAGTAGAAAGGAAAATTCACGTCATGTTACCGTCCCGGCAGGTTCCCTTCCTGTGCCGTTCTGTCGCAGACTGTGCCTTGCTTAAACCCGTCATAGGCCTTAGTCATAGTAAAAATCAGGCGGATTGGCTGTCC